GAAGATTTTTTCTTCAGTTCACTAGTTACAATTAGTCATTATTGGAACTGAAAAAGAAAGAAATGACTTTAAAATTTGATATTTGACAGGCATTTCTAGATAAAATTCAACTATCAAAAACACAGCTATTCCCAGATGAAGGTACCATGAATGGCTATGAAAACACATCCTTGATAACATATGCTGCTTTACAAAGCATTAAAATCCTAAAAATGAATTAAATTCTTGTTGATGAATTTTAAAATTTTAAAACTTTTCAGATTTGACGGATAAAAATAGACATAAAAATAAAAACCAAATATTTTACTAGGTGATTACTATCATTTCTATAAAAATTTGTATTCTCTAATATTTTACATAATCTTTTGCTGCTAATGCTAAAATGTTGACAAAAATTGACAACCAATAAACCAAAACAAACACTTATTAAGAATTTTACTAATTACTATTATAGTTCTATTTAGTCTACCATCTTACTTTTAGTCTGCCATATTACTTGATGCAGTATCAGCACAGATTCTAATTATATAACCCTCTAATTTAAAATACTCTTAAGTATTTTTAATAATAATTGCTTAATTTTTTCCTTAAGTGCTTTTAGTTCCAAGTAGGCAATCGTCTTTTGTAATAAATTCATAACTGGTAGCAGATATAGCAACTCTTTCCTTATTGTAACTTCTAATTTTTCCATTATTTCTTTTATCAACTTACTGTCCTTCTATAATCAACTTACTGCTCAGTAGCTTCTAGCTATTGAGCTTCTATATATAAAATATTGTTTGTGAGCAAATACTAATTCCACATCTAATGCTAACAGGTGCTAAAGCTAATATAAGCTTATTTTTGTCAAACTCTTATTACTATTTAAAGCTTTGACTTTTTTAGGTTTGTTGGAAATTGGATTGTATTACTTTTTAGAAAATTAAAAGTATTTGAAGACTGGTGAAAAGCTGCACTTAAAGTTGAAAAGCAGTTAAGACTTTAAGAAGTAAATAGAACTAAATTTGTAAATAAAGTTTAAGATTCATCTGGACCATGACAGATAAACTCATGTGTTTTTAATTTTTTTTCCTAACCCAATTCCTAAATTTCATTTTTCTTCAAATAAACTTTTATACCTTTTAATTCTTCTCTTAACATTTTGTTTCATTTCATTAGTTTTTACTAATCGCACTTTTTCTCAATGTTCTTTTATCTTAAAGAAAAGATAAATCCTCTATTACAGCAGCATTTAATCGCAATCACAAATTACTAATTTCGCATTAGTAATTTAAGAAATTATCATTGGTTAAACTTCTGTAATTTAAGGAACTGTTGTTGGGTTTTTTTTTATACTTTTAAATCTTTTTTATAACTGTTACAAAAACTTCACAAAAAGTAAATTTCTCAATATAATACGTATTGTATGCACAAAAGAGCTTTTTTAAAAACTAGATTAGTTGTTTTTTAACAAAAAAAATTTTTAATTGATTACCGGTGCTTGTATCTATTGCATCTTGTTCGAGATCGTTCCAATCTATTTGTAAAGAAGTTATATCTTTTCATTTTAATTGTAAATTGCTTTCTTAATTTCAAATTGTGACCCCTTGTTTTTCTTTCATTACCAACAATTTCTGGTGGACGGTAAAAATTAATTACATCATATCCTTTAAAATATTTGAACATTTGAATTCAATCCCTCTTCTTCTTCTATTTTCAAGCCAGTTTCCTATTTTCCAGTTTTTTAAGTCTTTCTTCATAGCTATAACCTCATAAAATTACAACTCTAGTTGCTCTTTGTTACACTTTCTCTAATTTATCCTTATCATACTGCCGGTACGGGTTCCAAATTATGGCTGCGTATTCTAAGTGAGGTCTAACTAATGAGACAAATAACATTAACATCATAATCTCATTAATATAATGGAAGACATGTTTGATTTGACCAATTTTTTGATTTGCTTTGTTCACTGCACAGTTTACATGATTATTCCATATTCCAAATCACCTGAAATTAGAACTCCTAAATCTTTTACCAAACTTATATTCACTAATTTTTGATCATAAATTCAAATTGATGCTGACTATTATCATTATTTTGCATTTTTGTTTATTGAATTTTATTAACCACTCATTTGACTATTCTACTAACGAATTAATATCTTGTTGTAGTTCAATTGAATCCTTTACATCTTTAGATCTAATATTTTAGTCATTTTTCCTACGCTTATTTGAAATGTTGGTTCTATTATGTTTTGGTGTAAAAAACAATTATTTAAACACTCTAGGAATATTTTAGCCTATACATCAGATGCATTCAATAACATAATATTATTCAGACCATTTCATTGTATGGAAATTGAAATCTCCACATATTAATAATCCTGTGAACTTTTTATTTATATTCAAAGAATGAGCGTATCTTATAGATTTAATTATATCATTACAATTATTCATATGGCTTATTCCCATTCTATATATACAACCACATAATAATTTTTCTAAACCCAATTCAACTATACCCCCAATTTGCTCTACATTTGGGTTATTCAAACATTTCTCAGAAACCTCATAGGCTTTGATTTCTTCTTTTATATACATACAAACTCCGCCACCTCTACGAATGCTTCTATCCATTCTAAATAGGGTGTATCCTCTTATATTTGTAACTGAAAAATTCGTCCACCATGTCTCCCTTATCATTATAATATCATTATCATTATTAAATCATCTAGTTTATTGTTCAACGATGTTGCATTTGTGTATAAGCACATTATCTCACTAAGTTTATTACTTGAATTTGACATTGTCACACCCATTTCATTTCTGAAATGAGTTCCCCCATCAAACCAGACAAACTCATTACTCAACTTGTACTTGATGTTGTTGCTTGTACTTATCTCAGTTTCTTTAGTGCTACTTGATTTTGATTAATCAACTAAATCAATAACTAGTGGTCCTGGCTTATCTTTGTCTTTGAAATGTTTGAATCTGAAATGTTTCACAATATTTAATTTTTTTAACGCAATAGCATCAAAAACTTCACCAATACTTTCATCATCATCTTCAATAATACATTCCTTGCTTTTTCGTTTTGATTCTTTTAACCCAAAACCTAATACATTTTTTTCTTTTTTGACTTTCTCCTTTTGCTCAGCTGAGATTACATTAATTACATGAGTTTCTAATTCGTGGATGGTCCTTACTTTTAGACTACTAAATAGCGGTGTATTGTTCTTTAGATTATTTTGTTCGGTTTCTTAGAATTTGTTTTTTAAATCAAGAGTTCAACTTTTTATTCTCTTTCTCCACTTGCTCAATGATTCCATTCTTAGTTCATCTATTGCCTCTTTTATTGCATTTTGCGTATCTTTTGATACAACCATACTTGTAAACACATCTTTTTTTGATGTATTTTTTTCTAAATAATTTGTAATTGTGAATAAATTAATTTTTTTTGTTTTATTTGAAAACTATGACGGTAGCCAAAAATTTTCTGATTTAAAAAATTTTTTTTTACGATTTGATTCTGTAATTATTTTTGTCACTGTTAATTATGCAGAATAGTCCATATTTTGTAATAATTTTCATCGCTGTTAATTATGCAGAATAATCTTTCTTTTAATCTTTTTATCAGAATAAATAAAAATGAAAGAATATAAATAAATTTTAAATTATTTTTTTTTTTAAATAGTACATAAAGAGTATTTACCAATAAATTTATTAATACTTAATATTATAATTATATTTTTATTCCTAAGTTTGTTATTATAGAATGCATCAAAGAAAAATTTTTTGAAATCCATTACTCCACTTTAATTGTATTTTTTATTATACTTTTTATTATGCCAATTTTTTATTATACCTTATAATTAAATAAACCTTTAAAATACACAAGGGAATAAAAAAAGAGGAAAAACAAAAATGTTTACTTTTTAGCGATAGACTCAGAAAGCATTGTTTTTTCTGACACATTATTGGGTGGCAATATTTCTTCAAATAAGAGATACATAAGCACAAATGATATTTCAAATCGGATGTTTTTGTTTTTTTCAGACAAGGTTGCATAATGAAAGAGATAAAAATAGATGCGTAGATCAGATGATAAATTATGTTGAATAGTTTTACTTGCTGCAAGTAAATTGCGGAGAATACGAAACAATGAAGCAACATGCTTTTCTGGCACAGGCTAAATGGAACAGAAAAAAAAATTTAAACATATTTTCTTTGAATCAGTTAACATTAAAAAAATATAAAAAAATTAAATGTTGCTACATTTTCATTTTTGTTGTACAAACATTTTTGAATCTCATCTACAATGAATATGGAAGCATTTTTTGGTACAATAGATTCATGTAGAGTGTGGTCTAAACAAGAAAAGGATGTCATAGCAACTTACAATAACATAGTAACACATAGTAACTAAAATAATTTACAATAACATAGTAACTTAAATTGCTTTGTAACATTAAATATTTACAAAATTAACTAAACATTGTTAAGTTTAATGCTGAAATAAAAAACAAATAACTTTATTAGTATAATTAATCAAATGAAAAAATGAGGTTTTACCTTCCAGCATGATTGCTAATTGCTCAGCAGCAGAATACCTAATGTCATCTGTAACTGTCTCAACAGAAAATATTTCCCACAATCTCAAAACATCAACAGAGGTAATATTTTTATACTGATTATGGTTTAGAAAAGAGCAGTCCTGGGCCTCAAATACAAACATGTTTTCTTGGGAAACGTTCACAGAAATATTCAATTGAATAGAAAGTTCTTTTAAAAAGTCTTTCAAGTAATCCATCATCAGTAAGAATCCTTTTCTTCTCATTTTCAATGAATTTAAATACATTAATCTCAATGCACCCTTGACACAATCTTTTTTTGACAAATAGGATCTTTCTCCAAAAATATTGATTATTCCTTTCTGCTGGTTGAATAATGAAAGAATAAGGTTAGTAACAGCTTTATCAGCGGTATTAAGTTTTGCTTGTAAATAAACAAGAAAATTTGAGATTATTTCAATTAATTTTTTAAACATTTTTGCAGACATGCAAAGAGAGCTGGATAAAATGGTGTGAAGGACACAAGTTGCAAGTGCTGATATCTATAAAAGCATAAAATAAATAAATAAAATATGTGTGTATATATGTCTACCTATATTCATATATACATGACATGTATACACATATATGCATGATGTCAGATTGCTGAAGTAAATGTGCTTTTAATGTTATATATATACATATATATATATATATATATATATATATATATATATATATATATATATATATATATATATATATATATATATATATATATATATATATATATATATCCATATCCATATAGTGTAGTCGAAAGAGCGTTTTAATGTAAAAAAAGTCTCTTTCGACTACAATTTTAATTACCTCGTCTCTTAAGCTGTATTTGATTGTCGTCGAAATGTCAAAGCAATTAAATTAATGCGGAAGTACATTAAATTTTATTGTTTTTTAAAATTTTTTTAAAAAACCACAATTATAACGACTAGAAAGTTTTTTTTTATTAGTGATGTTTTTGTTTTTATTTTATTAAAAAACATTTTTAAAACATGGGTAAATGTTGTTACATCGACTATCTTATAGCCTGACTCGCAACGGAGTGCTGTTACATCGACTGACAAATAGCCTGACTCGCAACGGAGTGCTGCTACATCGACTATCTTATAGCCTGACTCGCAACGGAGTGCTGTTACATCGACTGGCAAATAGCCTGACTCGCAAGAGAGTGCTGCTACAACGACTGACAAATAGCCTGATTCGCAAGGGAGTGCTGCTACATCGACTGAGGGTTTGGTTTGGGCAGGCAGTCTATCATTTAGAAAAAAAAAAATTTAAGTTTTTAAACTTTTTCTGGTCTGGTTTATTAACGCGCTCTTTAAAACTACAGTTTATGGGAAACTCTTTTCAACTACCATGCAAGAGTATATATATATATATATATATATATATATATATATATATATATATATATATATATATATATATATATATATATATATATATATATATATATATACATATATATACACACACACAAACACACACACACACACACACACACACACATATATATATATATATTTTTTATCTAAATAATAAAATCTAAACCCATAAATAAAATAAATAAAATCTAAACCCATTTTATCTAAATTATCAAAAAATTATACTTAATTACATTTATATAAATATGTATTTTTTTATAAAAACTTTTCAAACTTTTTCTAGGATTAATTTTATAAACACTTTTATAAAAATGTACTTTGTAATAAAAAGTACATTTTTATAAAAGTGTAATAAAAAGTACTGGTTTCTATAGACATTAAAATAAATATTGCGTTAAAATTTTTGTAAAATAAATTTAAAAGAGACTTTAAATGTTAAAATATTTGTTTGGAATTGATAAAAACCATCAGACTATAAATTTAAATTAATAACTAATTGCAACGTTTTAACATGAATGATAAAAACAGGGTTACTTAATTAAAAAAAAATGTAATGTTTTGGTGCCTTTTAAAAAAAGAATTAACTCAAAAAAATGACATATTTTATTAACATAGCCATGTGTTCAACTTTAATTTTGTTTTGTATTAAAAATAAAAAGTTCAAAAAATATAGTTTATATAAAATACTGAATTTATTAATAATTTTAAAACAACTAAAATGATTAAAGAATAAATGCACATAAAATATATGTTAGACAAAATGAACAATAGATGTCGTTTTTTACCGGACAATGTCCCATGTCCAGCGCTTATTTAGAGCCCTATATATATATATATATATATATATATATATATATATATATATATATATATATATATATATATATATATATATATATATATATATATATATATATATATATATATATAAATATATATATATATATATATATATATATATATATATATATATATATATATATATATATATATATATATATATATATATATATATATATATATATATATATATTTATATATATATATATATATATATATATATATATATATATATATATATATATATATATATATATATATATATATATATATATATATATATAAAATGCTCGAAATGGCAGGATGGGGCCAAATGCCATTCCTTTACCTTTTTAAAGTTTAAAAACCATCCCCTTATCTTTTTTAGTGTTTATCATTAGGCAGGATGCCATCCCTGTACCTAATAAATTTATAAAAATCTCCTTTACTTTTTTTCTTTTAAAAAAAATCTAAAAGCAATTATTCCGCTAAGTTGCGGCTTTGAGCAAATGAACATTTCAGTTGTTATTAGCATCATAGTACAATAAAGTTCAATAATAAAGTCTAAACTTGCAAATTAATGTGTTTTTTTATTTCTATTTCAAAACAAAGTTACTAATAACAACCAAAAAGACTTTTGTTGGCATTCTTTTTTCATAATATATATATTTTTTGAGTGGAATGAAATATTGGATGCATTTGACATTAAACGTTTTAAGTTAAAAAATTATTTATTGCTAATTGTAAATATAGATAAATGGTTAGCAAGCGGTACAAAAGTAAAATTAAGCAGCGATAGTTCTATAAGTAATTCGAATGACGCCAGTGAATCAAATAAAGAAATCAATTATTGAACCTTGCATATCCAATCCTCTCTATTGACTAGTGAGTAGACGCTTGGTATAGTCAAAGAATATGGTGAAACATAAGAAAATAAACAACAATCAATGGAAAAAACTTTCATGTCATAACTATCAGCTGCACACGAAAAAGCTTCTAAAATTTTTTTTCAGTCAAAAAATCAAGACAGAAATGTGTTGTTTAAAATGGCAGATCAATCAACACAAAACGCGTATTTCGCACTGTGTATCACAATTCAAAAATGAATTGTCCATTTCCTGATTTGAAAGAACTAATATCTTTGCAGGTAGAAAATGGTTTAGACATGGGTCGTATTTTACAATCAGATCATGCATGCCCTGATATTATCCATCATATTTCAAATGAAATGCATACAAAGTTTATAAACTATATATTACATAACGATAGTAAAATTGAATTTATGATATATGAATCTACCACAATTATGATATATGAAACCACAATTAGCAAAAAATCTGCTGTTTCAATGTGCTTGCGAGTAAACATTCCAGAAATAAATATCATTAATAGTTTATTTTTTGACGTTTTTATTAATAAACACAGAAACCTCTTCTACAGCAAACTCTTTTATAAGTGCTTTACATTGTCTAGGTTTTGACAATAATTTTTTATTAAGTAATTGGGTCTCTTTTGCTTGTGATGGTGTTTCTAATATGCTTGGCAAAAAGGAAGGCGTGGCTCGTTTACATTTAAATCAGTTTCCTAATTTAATTTTATGGCATTGTAGATATCATTGTCTAGAAATAGTAGTAAACGATTTTGTGCGAAATATTTTACCAATTTGTCACATGAAAAATTTTTTTGATAGGTTGTATTCTGTTTATAGTGCATCTCCTAAAAACAAAAAGGAACTGGAAATTTTTGCGATGACTTCAAGTGTAAAATTGAATTCCATTGGACAAATTCTTGGTACCAGATGGGTGTCGTCTAGCGTACGATCTGTAATGGCTATTTGGAATAACTTTGCAGCATTGTATCAACACTTTAATGAATCTTCATTAAATCTAGAATTTAATGGAGGAGATAAAGCTCATCACGCAGGCCTTAAAAAGAAAATGTGTGACATCAATTTTATATTAAACATGGGACTAATGCTTGATTCTTTAATAGAACTAGAACATCTTTCTAAAAAGTTACAAGATAGACTTATAACTTCTTTACCCATGGTTTTTTTACCTTAAAATGCCATTAATATATATAAATATATATAAAATTATATAAATATTTCAATCAATGAGAAATAATTCTAGTGAACATTATTTGCAGCTTGCAGCAGAAAAATAGATTCAACTAGATTCAACCACAACTAAAGTAACTATAATGTAATCAAAATTCATAGAATCTCTGACAAAACCAGTAAGTTAATTGGTGATATCTTCACATTGGTCTAAAAACTCCTTAAAATCATCCCAGTGAAAGCAAACTATAGAAGAACATTTCGAAAGATATTCAAATCGAACATCTTTAAATATCTTTGTTTTTACACTGCATAAAAGTTTAAATTCTTTATGATAATTTCATGGTTTTTAAATAAAACTCAGACCAAACAAGTTTAGTACCCACGATAGAAAGGTTAAGAATAACGTTTCCATACTTTTGTTAATAAATATATCTAACAGAAAACCTTTGAAAAGGTCATCCATATTCATTTCATTTTCAATTTGATTTAGAACTTTTTCAATAGCTCTGTTAAAACCTATAGCTGTATGTGAAGTGCAAAACAGTTGACCAGCAGGAATTTCTCTATCAAGTATATCAGCTGTGATTTTAGATGTTCCTATATTATGAACAGTACTGTCAGCCATATGAATATCTAGCTTCTGGTATAGTTCTTCTGAGGTGTATTTTGAGGCTTTCTGTAACATTTCAAATGTTGTTTTTATTCCATCTGCAATGTTTGCTGTAGTTTCTGAAGCAATTGCTAATGTAGGCAAAGGAAAATAATATTCTCGGTTAATATCTAAACCAGAAGGTGCAAAAGTGCCAGCATGCTTTCGAGTGGTAGAGTCAGTTGTGCGAGTTATTAAACTATCACCTTGCTTGTTTTTGTCAACACCTTTTCAAGTAGCAATATTGATTGATTTTACTTTGCAGACGTTTTAAAATGACCTGATATGATATTGTGTAGATATTACGCCCTGTCCAATGAATTTCTACTAACCTTGCAACTCTTCGACAAGCACTTTTAAAAGATAATTTATTGTTAAAGAGAACATCTCTGAGTGCAGATAGTAGAAAAAGTTAAAAATTTTTGGTATTCATATCATCAAGATACGGAAGATAACTAATTTACCTTCATTATGATTTTTATGGCCAATACTATTCGCACAGCCATGTTCCAATTCTAAAAAGGCTATTCACACGGCCACCGTGTTCTGATTCTAAAAAGGCTATTCGCAAGGTCGCCGTGTTCCCAT